GAAAGAACTGTTCGTTACAAGGGGGTTCACAAAACATTTTCTTAGTACTGTTTATTAATAATATAAAAGTGTGGGCCAATGCAGGTGTTGCTCTAGGTAAAAAGAAATGGATTTTAAGTGCTATAGAGATGGAGCAGATGCTGAGCAGCTATGCACGCGGTCTGATGGTATGTACTCCGTGTTTACAGTGGAGCAGGAAGCCAAGTGCACTGACAGCTGACAAGCAGAAATGATCATGCTGGAGTTCTTGCCATGTGAATAAGTGAGGTGGTTAAAAATGGCAGCGGGCAGGGAATGGCATGCGGCAGAACAGCCTTGCCAAAACACAGAGGCCCTGGGAGAGGCCACACGTACCATCAGTGATGTAAAAATAAGGTAGAAAAATATGGGCCGTGTGAGGGCTTCAGAGTTACTACTGTTGAAGTTGTGACAATATATCCAGTTCACAGTCTCTGAAAGCCACTCTGTTTAAACAAAGCAAAACCTGTTAACATTGTTTTAATCATATTTATTAATTGTTTTTATTGTTTTGTTGCCAAATGTATAGTTCATATCCAATGCAGTAATCACTCAAGAACTGTTATTTTTACTCACTTACAGTGTTATAATATATTTAAAATTGAGATATTTCATGTTGACTATTAGTACTGCTGCCTCACACGTTCTGGATCCTTGGTGGAGTTTTGTGTTCTTTCACGTGGACAGTTTCCTACCACCTTCCAAACATGCTGGTTAAGTTAGCTGGTGTCCCTGAATTGTCCTTTTGTGCATAAAATGATAACATTACTTTCTGCCTTAAAGGATACCAAGGGTTTCTGGTTTTAATTGCAATGCATCCCCAAGAAACTGTGAGTTTATCTTGTTTATGCTCCTCCCTGTGGGCTGCAGCACAACCATTAGACGCAGATGACATTGTACAGTCAATAACAAAACACTCAGGGATTTCAAGTGGTGCTTTTTTGCCATCCCAGCCCCAGTGGGAAACTGCAGTACAGCTCTTTCACAAGCTGCTGCCTTGGTCCGAAGTGCTATGAGTGCTGCAGTGTTTCTCCAAGAATGCTGCAAGAATACAAGTAATTAGAATACAAGCAAACATTAGTGGCTAAATTTGCTGTTAAAAAGCTGCCTAGTTCTCTGTAATTTACTGATACAGTATGTATGTTTAGGGATGTCCTTGACCACAACTTGCTCTGTCACGTTCTAAGTTCTCTGAAGCAGTGATAGCCATTCTTCATCCACATGCTGCATTTCTGTCATCAAGGTCTTCATTTTATCTTTCCTATAATTGAAAGTGCTCCCGAATCACAAAGATTTAATAGATTATTTAAGAAGCTGTCATAAACAGAATGAAAACTAGTGCTGCGTTTTCTTGTATTGTTGCCTGCTTGACCTGAGCAGCACCAGTCCCCAGCTGCAAGAAATCCAAACCTGCCGTGTA